CTGGAGGGCCTCGTCCAGCTGCGGGTCGGGGGAGCTGACGTAGGAGCGGTCGCTGTAGCCCACGTACGAGTCGCTGCTGCCGCAGCTCACGCTGCCTTCGCTGCTGCAGTCGGAAGCCACGGAGCTGACTCTGTAGTCGGTGTCCAGGGAGAAGCGCCTCTCGGGGCTTCGCGGGCCGGAGATGCTCAGGCTCGAGTACGTGCTCACCAGGGAGTAGTACCCGATGTCCACAGGCGAGTCGCACTTGGGGTACTGGTCGTAAGGCAGCGGCGATCCGTGGTTTTTGGTGGCCATCAGCAGCGGAGGATACTGTCCCTGCGGTCTTTGGTCCGGAGGTGGGAAGTGGACTCCGGAGGGGAGGCCGTTGCTTAGCGACGGCGTGCTTTGGGGCTTGGCGGCGGGAGTCGCCGGGATGCTGACCAAGGAGGGCACCGACCTGGTCTCCAGCTTGTTTTTGGTGGGAAGCTTTTCTTCTAGGTCCTGGTAGGCCTGAGTCCTGATGCTCGGGTCCGACTGCCTCTTGGGAGCGCCGCGCTTGACGTCCGAAGTGCTGTCGGCCTTCGTGCTGCAGGGAACGCTGTTGCTTTTCACCAGCCCCCCTTCGCTGGCAGTTTTGGCAGCCGTGTTTCGAGACATGGCGCGAAGCTCATCGGCCACGGACCGCTGTGGCTGACTGCCCCGCTCGGGGTGGTAGTATTTGCACTTGTGTCCGTAGGTGCACTTCTTTCCTGTGAAGGGTGAGATCGAGGAGGCAAAGGAGAGTCTCGGACCGTCACCGGATGGCCAGACTCAAATCACCAGATCCTGAAAATTCACTCTGGCACTACTGTTTAGCTTGTGGAAAAGTCCAGCGCCAAAGTGGGAGCTACGTTCTAAGCATGACTTGGTTCCTTACCCTTGGGAAGCGTCACTTCGAAGGCTTCTGACTTCCTTACTAGCCAGAGCAGTAAGAGGCGTAGTTGAATGATTACCAATCACCTCAGAGCCTTTGGCTAATACTCCCATGTTCTCACAGCTCCTACCCGCTTCTTCTCTTCCAGTGGAAATTTATATAAATCAGGTAGAAAATCTTATTTGGAAGAGCAACACGTACCATGGTAATAAGACTGGACCACAATCATCTGAGTTGTATCTCGATGAAAGAACTCAACTTGTAACTACCTGAAAACTAACTTATGGTAAAATTGTCTCGGATTTTGAACCATGGTTTGATTCAGGGAAATGCATTTGTATGAAACCTAAATAGCGAAAAATAATTCTTTTTCATGGCTAAGTGATTTTCTTAAATTTAACTGCAATCAAGAGAACCACATACTATGTCTTCCAATATCTTAACTGTTTATTCTGATTAATAAGTCTAACAATACCCTGTGTTCTAAAGGCATATTCTGCAGCCATAAAGAGGGACAAACATACGGACTTTGCAGCAACTTGGATGGATTGAGAGTCGATCACACTCGGTGATCTAACACAGAAACAAAGAACAGAGTACCGTATGTTCTCACTCCTAAGTGGACCTTGAACGATTATCATAATACTGTAAGAAAGGGACTGGCAGTAGTGGGAAACTGTCAGGGGAGGGGGGAGGGTGGGATTGGCAGTTGAGGGAAAATGCCCGGGGTGGGGTGGGGGGGCACACCTCATCAACAAGGGTACCTGCATAATCAACATTGTATACCTAACCCTGAATTGTACCCCACATCTTTATAATAAAAGATGAAAATAAAAAAATAAAGGCATATATTAAATATTCATAAAGAAAGTTACCATATGGACAAGGTTGCTTCTTGTGTTCAGGAACAATAGGTTTCTTCCTCAGAAAATTATCCAGACTGGGGCCATGTCTGCCGAGAGGGTCATCAGGGGGCATGAACCTGTCATGGAGATATCAAAAGTGATTCCTGAGTAGGAGGGAACTGAATTCTAAAAAGAATCCAAAGGTTCATTTGCTTGAAGTTATTTTTTTGGAATTTTAACCCAAGTGTTTTGATTCAGCATTTATTTGCCAGATTAAAAAAAAAAATCAGTACATGAAGTTCTTTTTTCTTAATGAAAACAAAGTTAAACTGTTTCAGGTCGAGGTTGTGTTTGTTTTAATTCAGACGCATTTTGAGCCTAGCGTGTCCTAATTCATTCTTCTTCTCAGTCTTGGGATCGCGTAAGGTTTTAGAGAGTGATCACACTTCAGGAGAGTCTTAACAAACATGAATCCTGTGAAGTAGGTGCAGCAGGTGGGGGTGAGGCCGGCAGGGGAGGGGCAGGAGGGGAGGTGGTAGAGGTGATGGGAAGAGACACACGGCCCCGATGCTGACGATGTGTCAGGCACTTCACGCACCATTTCATGACACCCTAGCGCATGAGCCCGGGAAGTGTGACATTTTATAGATTGATACACTTTCCTAAATGAGATGAGTTAAGTAATTTTTATCTAATGTCACATGGCAGAGTCAAGATCCAATTGTCTGATTCCAAAATCTATTCTCTTCTTACGATACTATGTGCTTCTCAGCCGAGAGTTTAAAAAAAAAAAAAAAAAAAAGCAACAAAGGAAGTAAACTTATTATTTTGGTTAACGTGTCCATGCATAAACACACTCCGAAAAAGTACTACTGAAAGCTTCCAAATTATCTGGTTCAGCTCAGTATATGTAAGTGTTTGATAGAGAAAGACATTACGGAGTGCCTTGGGAGAAAATGTTAAGGAAACACGTTTCTTTCTTCAATTACGCCCAGAGGCAATGACTGTCCAATGGAGGAGAGAAGAATTTATGTCATGTGGAATGCAAAGAGTTATAATTGAGAAATTCTACTCCCTATGTCAGTGTTTGAAGCTGAAATAAACCCAAGGATTCAGCTACGAAACGTGAACAATAGAAATATATGAATTCTTACAGAAGTGTTAACGTCGCCGAGGAGTGACACTTAGCAAACACAGTGTTAATGATCACAATATGACATTAAGAGTGGAAAATATAGGAGACAAAGGAAGTCAATCCCACAATCTTAATATAATTATTTTCCATGTTTGTGTTAGATTTAAGTCGTTTTCCATACGCACATACCATTTTATGTAGCTTTAATACAAGTAATTTTATGCTCTCTCTTATTAACAAAAATATCCATGCTTCTTAATAGCTTTCATAATTCTGAACTGCTAAGCAATATTTCGATCAAGTATCACAATTTGATTGATTTCTCTTTTGTATAATTGTCTTTGAATTCTCACAATTATAAACAATACAAAAATGAGCATATCTCTCATTATATCTTCCAAGAAATGAGACGATTGGGTTGACACAGCACACACATTCTTGTGGTTTCTGTCAACCTGTGCAAAATTGTACACCCATTGACCAGAATCTTTAACAGCAGAAAGCACACACAAAACTGTTTTTGTGAATTAAGTGGGTGAGAAAAACACATATTCTTCAAATATAGCTTGCACCTTTTTTATTTGCAACAGGGAAGCCTTTTCTATGCATGTACAAACATACATACTTCTCATGAGACATGCTTGCTCATGTCATTTGTTCATTCATCAGCTGGCAGACTGATCAGGAGCAGAGTCTTACAGTTGTTGGCATACCGACTTTAACAACTTTTTTTTTTTGAGTCGGAGTCTCACTCTGTTGCCCAGGCTGGAGTGCAGTGGCACGTTCCCGGACACCGCAGCCTCGACTTGCTGGGCTCAGGTGACTTTCCGCCTCAGTCTTCCAAGTAGCTGGAACTACAGGCGCATGCTACCACGCCTGGCTTATTTTTTAAATTTATTGTAGAGACAAGGTCTCGCCCAGTTGCCCAGGCTGGCCTCAAACCCCTGAGCTCAGGCAATCCTCTCTCCTTGGCCTCCCAAAGTGCTGGGATTACAGGCTTGAGCCATCGTGCATGGCCACGTATAACAACTTTAAGAAATGCTGGGCAGGTGTGTGCTGCATAATGACATTCTGGTCAAAATGGGCTGCATATATGATGGTGGTCCTATAGGTTATAACAGAACTTTAAAAAAAAATCCCTGGTGACATCATGGCACAATACACGACTCCTCGGTTTGTGTTGACGCCGGTGTAAACAAACCTACCGTGTTGCCTGGTGCAGAAAATTCTAGCATATTCAGTTACATACAGTACATAATACTTGATAATAAATAACTATGTCTATGATACTGGTTTACGCATTTACTATACTAAGTTTTTTATGGCTATTGTAGAGTGAACTCTTTCTACTCATTTGAAAAAAAAAGCTAACTTCCAGACAGCCTCAGGCAGGGCTGTCAGGAGGTATCCAGAAGAAGGCATTGTCATCATAGGACATGACAGCTCCATGCGTGTTACTGCCCTGAAGACCTTCCAGGAGGACAAGGGGTGGAGGTGGAAGACAGTGATATGAATGATCTTGACCTTGTGAAGGTCTAGGCTAATTGTGTTTGTGCCTTTACTTTTTTTTTTTTATTTGGAGTCTCACTCTGTCACCCAGACTGGAGTGCAGTGGCTGTTCCTGGCCACCATAGCCTCAACCTGCTGGGCTCTGGCGATCCTTCTGCCTCAGCCTTCCAAGTAGCTGGAACTACAGGCACACGCTACCACACCGGGCTAATTTTTTAATTTATTGTACAGATGAGGTCTCGCCAAGTTGCCCAGGCGGGTCTTGAACCCGCGGGCTCAGGCAATCCACTCACTTCAGCCTCCTAAAGCGCAGGATTACAGGTTGAGCCACTGAGTCTGGCTTGTGCCTTTACTTTTAACAAAAAAGTTGAAAAAGTTACAGTAAGCTCAGGTTAACTTATTGAAAGACAGAAATTTTTTTTTTTTGAGTCAGAGTCTCACTCTGTCACCCAGGGTGGAAAGCAGTAGCAACCCACTGGGCTCCGGTGATCCTTCTGCCTCAGCCTTCCAAGTAGCTAGAACTGCAGGTGCACACCACCACACCTGGCTAATTTTTTGATTTATTGTAGAGATGGGGCCTTGCCAAGCTGCCCGGGCTGGTCTCGAACCCATGGGCTCAGGCAATCCTCTCACCTCGGCCTCCCAAAGTGCTGGGATTATAGGCGTGAGGCACCACACCCAGCCTGAAGACAGAAATTTTAAAAAAATGTGTAGTCAGAGTGTACAGTGTCCATAAAGTCCTTGGTAGCATCACGTCCTAGGCTTCACAGTCACAGTCACTTACTGACGCACCCAGAGCAACTTCCTGTCCAGCAAGCTCTAGTCACGAGAAGTGCCCTACACAAGTGAATCATTTTTGATCTCTTATACCATCTTTTTACAGTACCTTTTCTATGTTTAGCTATGGATAGATGCAAAAACACTCACCATTGTGTTACAACTGCCTACGGTGTTCAGGACAACAAGAAACTGTAAAGGTCTGTCGCTTAGGGTAAGAGGCTATACTGTGGAGCCCAGGCGAGTGGCAGGCTATACCTTCTAGGTGCAGGAAGTCCTCTCTGTGATGCCTGCACAGTGATGCCATCACCCACTGACGCCTTCCTCAGAACTTATCCCTGTCATAACGCCTGACAGTGTTTAGTAGGCGACAAGGCTCTGAATTGATCTTGAAAGGCGGCTCTCGGAGGAAGAGGACGCTAATGCCCCCTCTGTCAGCCATTACAGGCTCTTTGGTCTCTGAAGACTTCCTTTCCAGCAGGTGCTCTACTAGTGACTTCCAGGGAAGGGCAGGGCCTGCCGCTCACACAAGGCCTCCCGCGGCATGGCTCCTGACTCCTGCTGAGGACTGGAGGGGAAATCAGTTGTTGGGGGAAATCTGTCTCAGGCCTGGTTAGTGGCAAAAAAACCAAAAGGGTTCAGCAGCAGCTGCTGGAGAGAGTGATATTTCCAGGGGAGCAGCATCACTGGGAGGTAAAGAGCTTCACTTACTTGTCATTGACAAATGAATACATCAGTAACCGCTCATCTATGAACTTCTTCCATTCTGGTTTTTCATTAGCCAAATCCCTGTAGTTATCATTGGACACGATGATACCGTCCGACTCAAAAGCCAGCTTCACGATGAACCTGTCATCGTAGCACACCACTCGCCGCCCCTGGACCCGCCGAGAAGGCGTGAACACCAGGATCTTCTCCTTCTCCAACTTGCGTAAAATCTCCTGATCTGCGAGAAGAATACAGGTTGAATTTCAGACATAAACGCACGTGTAACACCCGTGGAAACTTGCATGCAGTGTGAGCTTTTATGACGCGAACTTAACGCATGTCATCATTTAATCAGGGATTGTGATTTATGGATGTAGCACAATCTGTAACTGCCGATAAGATGTTTCCTTCAGGAACTTTAATAACAAGGCCTTTAAAGATAGTTTTAAAAAAATGAACAGCATAACACTTAAACATGACCAGGCAAATTCTGATTTTCATTACACGAAGCCTTTGTTTAAGGGCGGGAGTCATCAGCACGCTCACTGTAGACCTGGCGTCTTCTGTGCTCCTTCCACAGTGCCATTCGAACGAGGTCACTGGGGGTTGGGTGGGGCTTAGGTGTGAGCAACAGATTTTTTTCTCCCAAGTCTGTGTATTTTGTAGTCATTTTCATCTGACTGGTGAATGCGATGGCAGGAGAGAGTGAAACGAGGCCGCGGACATCGTCCAGGCAGCAAAGGGAAAAACCCTCAGGGGCAGATGGCTCAAGGGCAATGAGGTCAGAAATGTTACGGACACGGCTGTGGCATGTTCCATGTCCTTTCCTATAAAACATGGCTACAAACACTGGCGTGTTCATGAGGGCTGGACTGAGTAAGGGGGGAGGAGAAGGGGCTATGTGGAAATAGTCACTGTAGGAGAGAAAAAGGACGGGCAGCGGAGTGCTTGCGTGCCTTTGGTTGGCACACTCTTACAGCTCTTTGTAAGTCTCCTGACTTGTTCTGTGGTTAAAAAAGGGGGGCTAGGGCTTCTGTTTTGATCAGTGACAAACATTCTCTTTCAGTCATCCTTTCTTCCTACGGTTGCTCCTCCGTTTCCCACTTTCTTGCCATTGTAAATTCAGGCATTGCCTACACATTTTTAAAAAGCTCACTACTTCTTACTGGGTGCGGTGGCTCAAGCCTGTTAATCCCAGCAATTTGCGAGGCCGAGGCGAGAGGACTGCCTGAGTCCAGAGTTTGAGACTAGTCTGGGCAACTTGGCGAGACCTCGTCTCTACAATAAATCAAAAAATTAGCTGGCATGATGCTGTAGTTCCAGCTATAGCTTGTAGTTCCAGCTATATGGAAGGCTGAGGCAGAAGGATCACCTGAACCCAGCAGGTTGAGGCTGTGGTGGCTGTGAGGCTGCTACTGCACTCCAGCCTGTGCCACAGAGTGAGACTCCAACTAAAAAAAAAGAAAAAATCCTCACTGTTTCTTGACACTTATTAACTGAATCTATGATGCTGACAGCTTTAAAATAGTTCTTATCAAGTGTCATTTTTGGTACAGTGAAAGAGTCCTGGATTACCCAATTTACCGGGTGTTATCTGGCTAAGGGTTGTAGTCAAGAGACCCAAAGCCTCTGACATTAGCTAGGCCATTTTACAACATAAACTGCATTCTGACATGTTCCAGAGACGAGAGCACTGATATTTTTAAAACTAAACTTAGCCATGCTCCACACTCCACACTGTACACTACCATTTTCCCTTCTTGCTGTCACATTCCTCTCATGATCAAGAAGGTTTCAAGACACGTACATGCTTACATGGTTTTTTTTTTTTTCCAATTACTGTATCCCTTCCCCCATTATTGAAGTATTTTTTTTATCAGTTTCTTGTAGGAAATTAGGAAAGTAAGTAAGGAAAAGTACTAAGTAGAGAGAAATAAAGACTCATAAAAGCTACTCAGTGGTAAAATATTAACAACTGTTAGTATTTGGGCATATTTCCTTCTAGCCATTTTCTGTATATTTTATTTTATTCTTCCCATTGTTGATATATGCATGGCATGTATATGTGTATAATAGGATCTGCCATTCAAGTAAACAAAAATTTCTTTAGATCATTAAAAATTCTGCCTGAATATTCTAATGCATGTTCTAATCATATTAATACATTCAAATTTACTGAACCATCCTTCTAATGGGTAAGCACTTTGTTTTAATTTTTGTGTGTTTTAAATAGTAATGCTGCCCTGAATGTCTTTGGTGAGAAATATTTTCCTGTACCTCTGCTTATTTTCTTGGGACTTACTCTGAGAAGGGGAACTAATATATCTGAGCATTAACATTTTAAGATTAACTGTTTTCTTGGCAAGTTGTAACTATTTCCACAGCAGTGTATGGGTAATTCCCAGAGGGCACTAAGTATTATCAGTTTTTTAATCTCTGCTAATTTGATGGGTAAAAAAAAACAGTTGTTCAGATTTGCATTTCTTTAATTACTAATGAGGTTGAACTCTTTTATCTTCTTATTTGGCATGTGTATTCTGGAGTTATCTATTCCTATCATCTTACCATTCATATATTGGGGAGAGCTTTGTGGTTGTTTTGTCTATCTATATGAGTTGTTTTCTTTTTTTTTTTTTGGATTCAGAGTCTCACTCTGTCACTCAGACTGGAGTGCAGTGGCATGACCACGGCTCACTGAAACCTCAAACTCCTAGGCTCAAGGTATCCTGCTTCAGTCTCCCGGGTAGCTGAGACTATAGGCATGTGCTACCATGCCCAGTTAATTTCGTAATCTTTTTGTAGAGAAAAGATCTCACTATGTTGTCCAGGTTGGTCTTGAATTCCTGGACTCAAGCAATTCTCCCACCTCGGCCTCCCAAAGTGCTGGCATTATAGGTGTGAGTCATTGCACCCAGACTTTATGAGATCTTTATGTTAAGGGCATGGATTCTTTGTTTGTTGCATTTTTTTGGCAATTGGTGGATTTTTTATTTTTTTTATTTTTTTTGAGTTGGAGTCTCACTCTGTCGCCCAGACTGGAGTGCAGTGGCCGGGAGCGGCCACTGCAGCCTCGACCTGCTGGGCTCCGGCGATCCTTCCGCCTCAGCCTTCTGAGTAGCCGGAATTACAGGTGTGCGCTACCACGCCTGGCTGATTTTTTGATTTATTGTAGAGATGAGGTCTTGCTGCCCAGGCGGCTCTCGAACCTGCGGGCTCAGGCAATCCGCTCACCTCAGTCTCCCAAAGGCACGGGATTACAGGCTGAGCCACCGAGCCCGGCTTGGATTTTCATTTTTAAGAAAGTTTTCCACAATGCAGAAGCTTAAATTCTGAAGTAATTATACCTACCTTTTCCTTTGTGATTTCTTCTAAAAAATTTAAACTTAGAAAAATCTTCTATAAATAGTCTTTGATGGTTTGATTTTTGACAATTAATTCTTTGACTATCTGGAATTTATTGATTTTTTTGTCCTCCTGAGTTGGGAGTCTTACTCTGTCACCCAGGCTGGAGGACGGTGGACAATCATGGCTCACCACAGCCTCAACCTCCTGAGCTCAGGCGATCCTTCTGCCTCAGCCTCTGGAGTGGATGGAATTACAGGCACATGCCACTACACCTGGGTAATTTTAAAAATTTTTTTATAGAGACAAGGTCTCATTTTGTTGCCCAGGCTGATCTTGAACTCTTGGCCTCAAGCGATCCTTCTGCCTCAGCCTCCCAAAGTGCTGGGATTACAGGTGTAAGTGGAATTTACTGTTATATGGTATAGGATAAGGATCAAAGCAAGTACACTTTTTCCAATTTCTTGGTACTACTGGTTGAATGATGCCTAGCTCTCTGCCTTCCAGTTTTATACAGGCTGGGGTCGGAGTCCACGCTTTGGACTCCACCATTACTTGTCTATTTATTTTCATGCTAATTTAGCAATGATGTAATAGTTGTCAAGAAAAATAAAGTCTTAACTTCCCCCTACAGGTACATGCTAGGTGGGCTCTTCATTTGTTTTTATTTGGAATTTTTAATAGTTTCTTTCAGTTTGTGTTAATATCAGAGGTGGAGAGAAGGACAAGAAAGGTTGGGTACTGATTGAGAATCACTGAGATGTTAAACAACAAAAATAGACAGTGACAGAGGACATCTTTACCTGAAACCCACACATTTGAAAATTACAAAATCATGCAAAATACAAATCCTTTATTGGGATCAGGCCATTTCCTTTGACTTGACTAATATCAACCCCCAGGGTCTTATAGGTAGGTCTTTTGCTGACTGCCGCTATTAGAATTTCACCGCCACCTAGTCTAGTTTCACACAGCACATAAGAACATGAGAAAGTTGAGGTCCAAAGAGGCTCGTTGTACTGCTCAAAGTCTCCATGGCTAAGTGAAGAGAAAAGTCAGCAGTTGAATCTAGGCCTCCTGACTTCTAGGATATCTCTACAGGTCAGATTTTTACAAGATTCGAAGGCAAGGTTTCCACATAAAAGAAAAAACTGGCTTATACAGCAAGGATTAATGCTAAGCTAACATAATCAGAGAGTTTTCAACCCTGATAATAACTTTGCCGTCCCACCCAAGAGGATGTAGCAGTCACACAGATTGAGCAAATTAAACCAATTCAGAATATGTGACAGTGCCAGAGAACTGCACAGGTATTATAAGAAGGCAAAGAACAAACAGCTGCCTGCACTAAGCTTACCTGTGATGAGAGCGTCAGGCCGGGATTGCTCTTTTCTCCAAGCAGGAACAAAAACGGTAACATCTTTGTGACCTCTTTCCAAAAACCAATCCACGGCCAATTTTATTCCTCGGCAGGAAAATACTTCTTTGTTTCCATGGCTGAAAGATTATTTGAAGCACAACAAAACTTAAATTCAATGAAATGAATTCAAGCTTGTAAACAGACATGATGACATAATTATAATACGTACATCATACATATTTACATACATCATTACAATACATCAAATTTAAGATGGAGCTGTACAGCTCAGAGAAACGTTAAGATAACAGTTGAAAGTTAAGATCTGTGAGGAGGACAATAAGAAAATTGAGATGGTTATTTTGTGGAGAATAAAGAAACCTAAGTGTTCAAGTGTAAAGTTGTAAAGGTTGGCTAGTCAGAAAGATGCAACCTCTTTTTGATCCGGATGGGGGAAAAAGAAAGGGCGTTATAGCAAGAAGAATTTCAGTCAAATGTAAAGAAGTCACACAGGAAAAAAAAAATCTGTAAAAACAGTGGAATTCCAGGCACAGTGGATCACACCTGTAATCCCAGCACTTTGGGAGGCAGAGGAGAGAGGATTACCCAAGCCCAGGGATGGGTGAGTAACCTGGGCAACTTGGCGAGACTTTGTCTCTACAATTAAAAACAACAACAACAACAACAACAACAAACAAATTAGCCAGGTGTGGTGGCCTGCGCCTGTAGTTCCAGCAACTTGGAAGGCTGAAGTGGAAGGATCACATGAACCCAAAAGGCTGAGGCTGTGGTAGTCATGATCGTGCCACTGCACTCCAGCCTGGGCAACAGAGTGAGATTCCAACTCAAAAAACAAACAAAAACAAAACAGTGGGATTAATGCTTAAGAGTTTTAAAAGACTTTCCCTTCTCAAGAGTTCTTTCTTATGCGTGTATTTCAATGTCCCTCAATGACTGCACGACACATAAAATGTATTAGGTGACCCATGTAAGACAACATGCTACACACTCATTGAAAGAAAAAACATGTTCACAATGCTTAGTGTCATACAAGAAACACTTTCCATATCCTGTAATGGAAAGACACCCAGTTCTGTTCAACAATATTGTGTTGGACAAGGATTAATGATGTCAAAAGGGTGTTCAAAATTGGATTAGCAGTCTTAGGGCCTAAAGGGAAGCACACAATGAAAACATTCAATAAGTATTTACCTAACACCAGGCTCTGCTTGTACCTTAGCCTAATAATTATCAATAACATGTATTCTAACGTTTTCAAAGAAAAAGTATCCTGCTATGAATGTGATAATTATGTTCTTTTTCTTGTACAGTTTGAGCTTGGAAGGCTCTATTTGTTATCTATAATGGAGATAAGGTTTTTTTTTCTTCTTGGGAATAAGGAGGGCTGAGAATGAAATAACGTAGTAGATGCTTTGTTAACTTTTAGCATAAACCAAACAGTAGGCATATTAGTATGTCCCCTGGGAAGCATTAGAACCATTTAACACATGGCTAATCACTTTTAGTACAAAACAGAAATAGATCAACTTGCTTTGTAGATGTTGAAGGCTCCAAATAGACAGAGACTATGGTTCCAAGGACCTGTCCTGATGCCCTTGGTCAAGACTAGAGAAGAAATCGGGTGATGCACTGGAAGTTTCAGAGAATGGGACAAAGAAAGGGAGAGTATGAGTTCATTTTCTAGGTAAGAAGGACTATTTGTGGCCTGGCCAATATGCCAGCAAGAGATATAAAGCAATGTTAGGTTTTACGGAAAATATGAAAATTTTATCACAGTCTTCTAGAAAACTGTAGAAAGTAATATCTCTAGAAAGAACACTTATACCAAGTATTCTGACATACAAAAACTCAACTTGGTAAAATCTTATTATATTTTTACTTTGCATCAATGCTTTGAAATCTATGGTACTATGCTTTGCTAGTAACCTAATAATATTTGGTTTCCTGAGAGTTGAGCATTGAACTACTTCTGGCTCCAAAGACAGAACTGCATAAGTGTTTTCTTCCTGGTGATTTCATTTGGTAAGGGTAACTGTCTCACTTACTTACTCTAGACAGAAACAGAAGATACTATCTCCTAATTTAAAAACTTTCATTTTCATAAAATGTGTGTAAACAGCAAACCATTTCCAATCATGGGACAAAGATTCTATAGATGTGAAAACCGGATATTATACCACACAAAAGTGGCACATTATGAATGGTAAATAGAAATGTATAAAGAGCCCAACTTCTTGAGCACATGGACCCACATGTAGCTCCCATCTTATTATTTGAAAAAAAAAAAACTCCCATTTGTTTAAGCAATTGTAGTGAAGTTTTATGTTATTTGCAGCTGAACACATCCTGAACTGCCCCATGGGGCATACTATGAACCAAAGAAAATGGACACAGCTCTATTAATACCACAGGAAATAATATATTTTAAGGCAAAAAACATTATTAGGGACAAAATATTATTACGTGAAACAAAAAGGGAGCAATTCATAGAAAGCTATAGTAATTCAAAACTCAGTCTTCATATTAGTAAGACCGAAAAAACAAAAACAAAAACAAAAAACCTCACGGTATCACTAGAAAGAAACAAATAAACCCACTATCATACTAAGGGAAGAAGGAGTAGAACACATTTAGTAAAGACACAGATTACTGGAGCAAGCAACTACAAGCTTGATTAGTAAACATATACAAAACCTGTACAAAATTAAAGAAAAAATCTGTTCAAAAACAGACGGAAACTTTATAAAACTGGCTATGTTCAGGTCATAGAACAGATTAACGGGCATCAGCAAACTGTACATATGATATTTTTTGACTATATTATAATATTGCAGATATAAAATTCTTATTCAAAAATGAGTGTTGCTATACCTGCAAAATCAATTAACAATTTTAATAAAAAAAAAACCCAATAATTTGTAACAGAAATAAAAACTACACAGACCTTTTTAAAGAGATATGAAAGAGCTTTATAGAGAAAATGAAAATTGAAAATCTACATTAACAGGCATAAGAGAAGACCTAAATAGAAAAACAATATACCCTTTTTATGGGCTAAGACTCAATTTATAAAGATGGCAACTTTCTCAAATTATCTATAAGGTCACTGCAATTCCAATCAAATTTCTCCAAGGTTTTTTCAAGGAACTTGAGAAGCTGATTCTAAAATTAATATGGAAAAACAAAAGGCCAAGAATGAGGTGACATTACAAATCAATAAGGGAAAGACTGACTATTCAACAAATGGTACTAGGGACACTGGTTTTTCATATGGCAAAAATAAAATTGCAAAACTTTCAGAAGAAATTTGTGGAGATATTCATATCAGAATGGGGAAATACTTCTTAAACAAGATACAAAACCACAAGCTATCAAGGAAAAGACTGATATATTTGAGCACATAAAAGTTTATTATGCAAGAGTCCATAAAAAAGAAAAGTCATAGACTGGGAGAAGATATTTGCAACAGATAAAATCTGTCAAAAGGTTGGTACTCAGAATACATAAAGTACTCTTATATACCAAAAAGAGTAACCAGTTTTTTTTAGGGCAAAAGATATGAACAATCAATTCACAGAAGAGGAAACCCAAATGACCAATGAACACAGGAAAAGATGCTCAATAGTAGAGACATGCAAATTAAAGCCAAAATGAGACACTACTTCACACCCATCAGACTGGTAAAAATAAAGTCTGCAAACACCAGATGTTGCCAAGAATATGTGAAAGTAGGAACTTATACATTACAGGTGGGAGTGTAAATTGGTATAACTATTTGCGAGAGCAATTTGGCAATACTTTAGAAAGTTAGAGGCATGCTTTCTCTAAAACATAGTAATTCTGTATCCAGGTACAGTGAGCCCTGCAGGAACCTGAAATTGTATTTCATGCAATTAGCAAATGGCTTTCATCCTCCACCAGCTTAGATCACACATGGGGGAAGGCTCCTGTTCTTTTTTTTTTTTCTTTGAGTTGGAGTCGCACTCTGTTGCCCAGGCTAGAGTGTAGTGGCATGCTCCCAGTGATTCTTCCGCCTCAGTCTTCCAAGCAGTGGGAACTACTGGTGTGTGCTACCAGGTCCGGCTTATTTTTTTGACTTACTGTAGAGATGAGGTCTCACCAAGTTGCCCGGCCTGGTCTCAAACCCCCAGACTCCAGCAATCCTCTCGCCTTGGCCTCCCAAAGTGCTGGGATTACAGGCTGAGCCACTGTGCCTGGTCAGGCTCTGGTTTTTATCTTTTGCACAGGGAGGGAAAGGCAGGCAGGTGGGGATATGGAGGGTGAGTTCCTCAGTTGCCAGGACTTTCCCAACTAATCCTTCCCAAGCAGGCCAGGGTTTAAAAAAAAAAAAAGAACCCTATCCAGGAAATCCCTAGATTGGCTGCTGTTGCTTGGAAGTCCCTGTCAGCCACCAAGACACAGAATCATCCCTGTAATATTTAAGCCCGAGAATTACCAGGTGGCTTCAAATTGCAGATGGGATTTGGAAAGACTAGCAGAGGTTTTGGGAGACTGAACTTAATTCAACGTTACAGACACATGCTGAAGGATGTGGCTGACTAATCATATGTGCTAGATACAACCTAAGGAGTAAGTGGGAAGATACTGATAAAGAATCATAGAATTGGAGTAAGCTGGATAAAGAATTATGAAAAATAGGATGTCAGAGTAAGTGCAATACAGCTACTGATGCAAATAAAGTATCTATTGACTATTTACTAAAAAAGGACCAGAGGCTTAATTCCATATAAATAGAGTCACTTATGGGCTATCTGTATGCATTCAGGTTTTTTTTTAAGCTAATAAGAATTAGCTAATTCTTTATTAATAAATTGGCATGTTCCTTTGGGTCTCAATTTCTTTCTTATTCCGACAATTTGGCAGTAAGGATGACTGGTATACCTCAGGGAATCCTTCCGCAGGTGCATTTGTTGGAGGATTTGTGGTTACCTCTGATTAGAGCAGAGCTCCTGAATGTTAGCTTTAAAAGTCCCTCTGACTACTTTGCCTCAGAGGGATTGGGTTCCCAGGGAAAATTCCAAACCCTCACTGCAAATTTTGAGTTACTACTGAAGGTCCTATCTGATTGGCCACTGGCTTTAATAGTAGAAAATAT